TATATCATATTAACTAATTTAACTAACATCTATAACCTACTAAAAATTAATTAATTAGGTTTTATATTAAGGACTAGAAGAGTATAATGTATAAATTGTAAATGACAGCCGGCCAAACAAAAAAAATTATAAACGACGCGATTACATATTCTATTGCAACTTTAATTCTTTGTTCTTTTGGCAAAAAAAAAAATCTTTGTTCTTTGCTTTGGCGATAAATATTCTTTTAATTGTTTAATCTATTGTTATTTGCATCATCTTGTCGCTTTATTAAAATTACCAATGTGTTGATTAATAATTATTGATATTGAAAGAGTAATTATTACATTGAAGTCTAAAACCACGGATTCCTTGCCCCCTCTGGACAAAGCTACGATCTGAAAAGATACATTAAGTCGGAGCCAATATCCCTTTGATTAAGGAAAGGGTCTCCCTTTTCCTCCAAAAAGTCATTGAAGGGGCAAAATTAAAAAAAAAAATCATATCAGACAAATAAAGAGGGAAAAAAACAAGGCACTGTCCAAAATTTAAGATAAAAAGGTACAATGATGTTGTTAATGATTATATTGATTTCATGAGTTCCCATGGTCCCAACAATAATATATAATAAAATATCGTAACATTATCGCAAATCTGGGGTCAACTGCAATGGGTGGTGGTATCAATAGAAAGTTCTTTCAACTAATTTTTTTCATATGTTGGCATTTGCAAAATAAACTAAACTAATTTTTCCTGTGATTCAGTCTATGAATAAATAATCTTTAGTTTTAAAAAATATTTTTACAGAGATGAAGTAAGTTGTTGACATGTTTTTAATCCATCTATAGTGCTTTATTAGGGTAATTGATTTAAGCGGACGTTAAAATTAAAAAAAAATCATTTTTTTCCAGAAATTCAATTGTATTTATTATAAACCATTTCTCCTTAATTATAAATAAGAATATCACAGTACTACTTCCGGTTCTGATTATAAGACCTTGTTTAATTAGAACCGAAGGTAGTATAGATTAGAAAGATTTTAACCTTGGAATTTTATCCACGTCATCACCACCTCGGTTGGCATCAGTCCTTTAAAACAAATTTATTTATTTTTTTATAAATATACAGAGTGTCAAAACAACAATCAAGCGTATTTTGTAGCTTTTTTTTTGTTGCCAAACACATATTTGATGGCTTAAAAATTCCGATAATGAAACTTATTTATTTTATGTTTTTAATTAAATTCATTGTACTATGTTCGCGGCTAATTGTGTTTGTAATAAATAATGGAAGTACTGAACAGAAGAAAAATATCTAAAAAAAAAAAAAACAAGTGTTCTTCTTTGGCATTGATGAAAGTGAAAAAAATAAGCGGGGTTAGGTGGGTGGGAAGATGGTGGCGTCCAACTCAAACTCATTATTTTTCATATTATTATTGTCGTCCTCTCTTATCATCCAAATGGATAACCTTCATCATTCACCTTCTTCCTTCCTTCTTTTTTCTTTTTCTTTTTCTTTTTCCCCGTAAAACATCCAAATATAGTTGGCAAAAAAAATCCTAATATATAATTTTTTATGATAAATTAGTTAATATGATATGTTTTTTAAAAACATTTAAGCATTTTTTAATTTTTTTCCCTATCTTCTACTGAATTATTATTGAAAAAATATTAATAGAGTTAATTTAAAAAATTAATAAATATGTAAAATATGTCTTATATATTGGATTGATATTAACTTTTAAATTAGGCCACACATTATTGAGAACGAGGGAGTAGTGGTCTGTCTGAATTTTTTTAGTATACTGTTTACGTTTTAATTGTCCGTTAACCTCACTGTATTTTTTTTTAATAGGAGGAGAAAGTTGGTTAATCTCGTTACATTAATTACTATTTCTCCGGTTCTAAGTATAACACCCATTTTGTAATGTAAATTACATTACAAAATGAGTTTTATATTTAGGACCGGAGGGATATATTTTTATTGTCGTTTTTTTTATTGTCATTTTGTAGTGAAAATTACGTTTATGTATCTGTTGTATTTAATTAATTTTTTTATTTAAATAATTTGATTATTTATATCCTATAAAAAAGATCAAAGAGAGTCTAACTGGATAATTTGTACTATTCTAGTTGTATTTATAAGTAGGTTTTAATATAAAAACCTTAAATTTTTTAAGTAGGAGAGTTGTCATAAAATCTTAAGTAAAAAATATAATTACTAAAAAGTCCCAATAATAATATAGTAGAAAGTATCCTCTAGTAATAAGTTTTAAATAGTAAATAATAACTTCTCACTTATCATTATCATTGAAACTTATTGGTAATCATTTTTTTAGGACTTCATTATAATTTTTTTAATTTTATCTTTATTTAATATATATTATAACTTAGGAGAACAAAATCAAACACAACAAGTAAAAGATAAAATTATACCTTTACATAAATAATTGAATAGTGTGAGTTATAAATAGTACTAAAAAATTTCTTCCCTATGCCAAGTCAGATTGTATAACATTTTTTTATTCACGTGATTTCAATATAAAATTCAAATTTAATTTAAGATATTTTGAAATTTTACCTAATTTGAAGTTATCAAACTCTTCGCTGACATTACCATTCATAACTGGCTTTCTCTTGTTTTGCATTTTTAATGTATTTCATATTTATTTGTGTTATTTCTTTTTCCTAATTACATGCATCCACACAAACATATAAATTTTTTTTTAATTATGATTACTACTATCATCACTACCTCCTACCGTAAATGCGGAAGCAAAATAACTAGTTCATAAAAACTAGTTCTGCATGGAAACTCTTATTTAACATGTACAACCAATAATGTTAGTTTTAAAAAACTTATAAAAACATTATGAGACAAACTGGATCAATTAACTTCTGCGGAGGAGGTATTTTTTGACAACTATAAAAACAGCATAAGATTCAAAAATTGGACCCTAGTAGTTAAGTTGGGTGAAAGAGATCCACTATCTTGTAAAATTTAAATAAATTTGGGAATTAGTGAAATTAGTTCGATCATTAAATAGACTGAGGGAGAATTAATACTGGTTAAAGAATTTTCTTTTATATCTTCACAAATTCAAATCCCATACCTTATCTTAAGGATCCGTTTGATATGCAAGGAAAAATTGGGGGTTAAAATTTTTTAACTAGTTTTGCATATTTTTCTTATCTTATACATTCTTTTTATCTAAATTTTGTAACCTTACTTTTTCAATTTTTTGAATCAAGCTCATTGAAATTTTTTTTTCTTTCCACTTCTCTCATACCAAACATGAGATATTTAAGCAAGAGGAGTTTATGATTAAATGTTATTTTTAAATTTGACTAGAAAATCATTCCCAGAAAAAAAAAACAGACAACACCAATTACCAAATACAAGTACTACGTAAAACATTATTCAAAAATTCAACAATTCATGTGAATCTTTTCTGTCCTGTATAGTAGTTTTATCTAAGCTGGTAAAAAAAACAAAGTTTTATCTAAGATATATGACACGTGGGAGGCCAATTCATTGTCATGTTGAACTGTTGGTTGTCTGGCCTGATAATATAAAACGACTGAAATTGAATTTTGTCAGAATTTGTTTTTTGTACTTGTCTTCTCACTGTCTTAAATCCTCAACCACCACCCGCCCCCCCGATTTGCCATTGAATTTTTAAACTTCATTCATTGACATGGATTGAAGAATTTTATTTTATTTTATTTTTTGAGTCCACATTAATTATTTTTCTAAGAAAATGATGATTTGTAAGTTTCGTCTCCAGCCTACTGAGCTTGACACTAATATATCGGATGTTTCTCATCCTGGCCCAAGGCCCATTTGGAACACATTAGTATTGGGCTCTAGGCAGACGTCGTGTGGCCCAAATGTGTTATTGAAGGCCCAAGTCACATGCCCAACCGCCTTCAAAGGCTGCTTTTTTCGATTTTTAAACTGCTGGAAGATTTTTGGCCCAAAAAAAAACTCTGGAAGATGGGCCACCTAACGGGAGGGAAAAGAGGACAAGGCCTTATCTATTTTGCTTTTTTTAAAATCCCTTTCAAGTATTACCTTCTTTAATTGTGTGGATTTTTTCTTGGAAGCACCCAATAATATTGAATTCAAACCTAATAAATGTTAATGAAAAAGATTACATCATTTATAGTCGGTTTTCACATATACGTGGTTGCGGAAAAAGATTGAAAATTTTAATGGAACATCCAACAAAACGTAATAATGTTTATTTTGAATTTCATTTTGTAATATGATAAAACTCATTGTCATGTTGTATGCGTGCGTACTAGTTACCAAAAGTACGATCATGGCAAATTATAAAGTTCGTCCGAGACGAATTAGTGGATCGGTTTCATGTTAAATGAACTAATTCTCGCTTCCCAATCATAGATTTTGTCTCTTTTTTTTTTTTTTGGTGGGGTGGCGGGGAGGATCAGATATTATCAATCAATCCACCGTCCTTTGGACTGAATAAGGAATCCTCTGAAACCGCTAAATGCATATTAACCTTTGAACCACCAACGTCTGTTTCATTTTGAGTGGAGCAAATCCTTTCGGGGGTCTAACTCATCATTTGCATCCATAAGAATGGTCATTTGCCGTGGCTAGAAGACAAAGAACCATAGATATTTGCTGGTCCACCGTTGATTCGCAGCTTCCCAGCAAACACGACGAAATAGGGATTTCTGGACCTGTTGAGTAAAGTACCCTAGAATATTCTCCAACTTTCAAGCCTTTTCTTTTCGATAGATATTGTCTTTCCTGGTAAAAAAAAAAAAAAAAGATATCGTCTTCCCTTTTTATTGCAATAACAAATAATAAAATTACTTGCGGGAATTTTCTAGTACGAATAGCCGAAGAACAAAAGAACCACGATTCGACATGTATACGATCTCCTCTCTGGAAGTACTTTTTGAGTGACTATATCACTGCTTAAATAAAAATTATCATCTGTCAATTGTCTCAGGAGACAACGACGCATAGATATTTGTTCGTCCAGTCAATTCATTGCATCCGATAAAATAATTTATGATCACATTATACTGTATTTTAGTAGATAACTTGTTAAAGAATTCCACATAATGCATCTTACATTTCATTTACGTATTAATAAGATCCGATGCCATTTCTATTCGTAGTTTCAAAATTCTGACCTAAATCCTGCTGGGTATCACCCAGGTAAGGCAGGCAATGGGTATTCATAACAGTTTTTTTAATCAAAATGACATAATCTTAAGTTTGGTGGCCACATCTTCAGCGTTCAATATCAAGTTTGCTTTTGCTCGTGTTTATCTTCACTTTAGTCCTTTTTTGCCGCCTTAACCCATGACTTTGAAGTGTTCTCTGAAAACTTTCAACATAGCTGAAAACGTGACAATCCCGGTCAAGGTTCCATCTTCATCAACAACCCACACGTAACTTACACGGTGAGCAAGAGCCTGGATCATCACAGCCACCAACGAGCTCCATGGGTAACAAACGGTGCCCTCCGACCTCCTCACCACCCTAGCAGAGTACCCTCCATGCTTCCCATTCTTCCCTGAGCTCAAACCATCTTCATCAGAGGAAGTTGATGTAAATGATGACCAAGAAGTCAGAGACGGCCCTGATTCTTCCTCCATCAACTCCAAAGTACCCATAAGATTCTGCTCTTCCAGCCTCTCTTTAACCAGTTGCACCAGGTCATCCGGTGGGCCACCGCAGTCAATGTAGGCCATCAGATCGCCGGCAGAGAGCGTGGCCATCGCTGCCGCCGCTGTCTCGTTGCAGGAATTCAGGTGAAAGGGTGAGATCTCACCAATCAACTGGCCCTCTGGATTAACAATGGCCACTGAGCTCTGGCGGATGAGGGACTCTTCGATGAGGCTCAAAGCAGAGGATGCAGGGTCGTCGTAGTTTACAGTGAGGAGGTTTTTGGTGTCTATTACGCCGAGCGAGTTGATGGGTTCGCTGTGTGTGGGAGAAAACAGACCAATGGAGTTGAGGAGGTAGCGAATCACGTCCTCTTGGGTGAGCCAGCAGTACCTGCGATCATTGTTGTGGAAGGTGGGGTCCAAGGACGATTTCTTTTCGAGAAGCTTCTTCCTTCCGGATTTGGGCTCCGGAATTGGTATAACCAGGTTCTGTGCCCCTTCAAGGATAAGATCTATGGCATCCAGCAACCTACAGATAATCAGATGGGAAGATTTATGATTCGTCCCTAACATAATCATCTCCACAATTACTGGATTTGAAACAAAGAAGGCGGCCGTAAATCCGCGATGCAATCAACGTGCTTCAAATTCCGTATTATGGGAATCAAACATCAAAACACCTTCAGATTTCGTTCAATTAATAATCAGAGATTGACATTTTAAAAATTTTCAATCAAATTCAAAACCACACAAATCCAGGACCACAAGACAAGAGCCACATGTCCCTGATATTATGATCAGGGAATCTTATGGCAAGTGCTTTTGCTTTCAATATTATTCAATATTTAATTAGCCGGTAAAGAAGAAGTGTTCTGAAGTACGGTAGAACCTAGCAGCGAAATTTATATCCAGATGCAGGTTTTCCTTCATCTAAATTTCTATATCTATGTTTTTTCCTAAATTAGAAAGGAGTGATTCTTGCAAAAGCATTCGCGCGAAACGATTTAAATTTTGAATTTCACAGATTCATGGATCCAATCATTCCTCGCTTAAACAAAATTACCTAAACAAACAACTATTTATCAAATTAACTTCTTTATTATCAAAAAGGAAAGAATTAAAAACGCATCAAATCGTAATCTGAACAAACCTGGCATTGGGGTCCAAATGCCTCACAAGCAACGAAGTCTTCGGGATCAGAACAGAGATGGGAGACTGAAGCGCCTGAGCAGGTGACAAGAGATTCTCGGGTTGACAAATGAAGCAAATGATATCGACCATGCAAACCTTACCGATACATTGGCAATCCGCCGCCGCCGCCGCCGCGCCTCCTTCTACGTTACGATTCGTTGAATCAACGGATTCCGACGAGTGGTGGCAGCTCCAGACGCTGATGCAGCTATCGCCAAGCCTCTTCAGAACGCAGAGCGCGTCGGCGACGGTGTCGGTGACAGAGAGCGATCGAAGCGCAGGCTTGCCAAGGCACAAATCCAAAACCTCATTCGATAACAGCGTTACTGCCATACACAGACCGAAGGAGAGAGGGAAAGATCGGACGCGAAAAGGAGAAGGATAGAGACGAAGATTCAAGAGAGAGAGACGATGGACCTGTAAATTCTTGACGCGGGCAGTTATTGTGGAGGAGAAGAGAGGTGGGATGGAAGTATATTTATAGGATATGCGTTACCGGAATAGCCCGTAAGTCCGTACAGTACCAAGATTTGTTACGGGCTTACCGCTTACGGCGAGGGTCCTCGTTCTCAAATTTATGACTTGGCCATGTGGGCCCGCTCATATATATTTTCATTTAACATTACCTTCGTCCGTGCCAGCTATTACGTCCTAATTATAAAAATTAACTAACTAATTTGATAAAATTAAAAAAAAATTAAGTTAATTATTTGTAATAAATAAGTATTGTCTTTTTTAAAATATCTTTGTTAATCAAGTGTATTGGCCAGAACCATCATTGTTAAAAGGGCTATCTTGAAAAAAAATACATAAATATGAGAGACAAAATAAATTGAAGTCTTATATTTAGAATCAAAATAAAAGTCAAATAAAGTCTTATATTAAGAACAGAAGGTAATATTAGTTAAAAAATAATGGGCGACCTCGCTCTAACAAAAAAAACACAAATTTAAATTTTAAAAAGCGGTTTGAGGAGTTATTTCTTAACCATTTATGGCAAAAAAAAAATTAGTCTCAAATATGGCTTGGGATGCTCTTATTTCACCTATAAAAAAATACTATCCCTCCCTATAAATATGAATATGCTCCCCCTTCGTACTATCTAAAAGCTTTAGTCAAGATAAGAATCACCCTAAATACCACCTCAAGGACAAATTAGATTGAAATTTTATACTACTTTTGGTTCTTAATATAAGATCTTGTTCGATTTTTATTTTAGTCTTAAATATAAGATTCTCAATCTACTTTGTCTTCTCACATTTATGTTTTTTTTTTCCAATGTAGTCTTTCTAATAATGGTAGTTCTAGTTAATACATTTGATTAGTAAGGATATTTTAGGAAAGATAACACATATTTGTTATAAATAACTAATTTAAGTTATTTCCTTAATCTCTTTAAATTAGTCAACTAACTCTTATAATTAGGATCAGAGGTAGTATTTAGAACCAAATTAGAAGTCAAATTAATTTTTATATATTAAGAACTAGATTAGTATGAAATTTAAATTTATCTTTCACTTATATTGTTTTTTAAATTTATTTGTTTAACTTATAAGCTAATATAAAATATAATATTACACAATATATTTTTCTAAAAAATATATCATATTTATTATAATTAATTAATTAATCTAATTATCTTAATTTATTTAAATTAAGTAGCACAATATCTACTCACACTTCTATCTTGTTTGTGCGTTTCAATTTTAATATAATATACCATAGGAGAGGGCAATCTCATGAAACTAATTTTTTTTTTGGTGTACAGAAACTAATATTCTTTTAATAGAGTAATTTGATATTGGTATTATGAAGTTAGATTACCTTATTGATTTAAGTTGAGATAAATTTTCCAGAGGCATCTTTTGCATTGATGGAATTCGAATTTAACATCCTGTGCTCCGGTACCATATTTTAATATAAAAATGTGTTTTAAAACCTATTTGTCCTTATTCAAAATTATTTTAAATATATATAAATGTTAATATTTTAGTGTGTGCATATATATGTGTGTGTTTGTGTGTGCATGCGAATTCCCATTTTTCCATCCTATTTTTTCATGCCCCTTCACCCACAGATAGGTGTCAGAGATGATGCCAGGTCATGAAAAACACGTGAAGTATATCATGTCAGGTGTAGGCACGCAGGTACATATAATCCGCGGGAGAATGACATATGAAATGAAGAGATATCGGGTATTTGGGTAAAAATAAAATCATAATTTTAAAAGTGTTTTTATGGTATACAAAATAAATATATTAAAAAATTTATCTCAATTTGTAAAAAAATACTTCTGAAAAGTGATTTCAGGATTACCCAAATACCCCTATAATTAAATCACAGTACACCTTTTGTCCTTGATAAAATGCTATTTCCTGTCTTTTAATAGTAAATTTTATTTTTAATTTAATTATAAATATAAGACTCTAATTTATTTTATTTTTATATTTATTTATTAAAAACAAGGTAAAAAACTAATATACTTAGTTAATAAGGATATTTTAAAAAAGACAACACCTAGTTATTATAAATAATTAACTTAACCAATTTTTTTAATCTACTTAAATTAATTAACTAGCTTTTAAAATAAAAACCAGATATAGTAGCCAATTTGGTATTTAATAGTTATACGTGTTAAAAGTTTCATCAAATGGTAATTCTAACTAATATACATAGTTAACAAGAGTATTCTAAAAAAGATAACACATAGCTATTATAAATAACTAACTTAATAAATTTATTTAATCTATTCAAATTAGTTACCTAATTTTCACATGAAGATGGAAGTTGGGAGTTAATAATATTTTATAAATATACTTCTTTTTCCCCTACACCCAGTTAAATCATACTCCCTCTTGTTCTTAATATAATACTACATCCGATCCTTAATATAAGATTCCGTTTTCTTTTTATTTTAGTCATACATATAAAACCCTAATTCGCTTTGTCTCTCATATTTATACTTTTTTTTTTCCAAAGTAGTCCTTCTAACAATGATAGTTCTAGTCAATACACTTTATTAGCAAGGATATTTTAGGAAAGACAACACCTATTTAGGATAAATAACTAACTCAACTTACTTCCTTAATCTCCTCAAATTAGTCAACTGGCTCTTATAATTAAGACTGGAGGTAGTAGCTTGTTTGATTTTTATTTTAATCATAAATATTACCTCCGGTTTTTAATATAAGACCTTGTTCGACTTTTATTTTGGTAATAAATATAAGATCTCAATCCATTTTGTCTCTCATATTGATATTTTTTCCAAGATAGTCTTTCTAACAATAGTAGTTATAACCAATACACTTGATTAATAAGGATATTTTAGGAAAGACAACACATATTTATTACAAATAATTAACTTAACTTCCTTTCTTAATCTCTTCAAATTAGTTAACTAGGTCTTATAATTAGGATCGGAGGCAGTGTAAGATCACAATCTACTTTATCTCTCATATTTATCCATTTGTTAAAGTAGTCTTTATAGTAATGGTAGTTTTAACTAATATACTCCTCTGATCCTTAATATAAGACTCATTTAACTAATTTAATTAGATTAAGGGAGTTAGGTAAGTCAGTTAATTATAAAAAAAGTGACACATTTTTCCAAAACATCATAATCATCTTTCTTAATACCTTTCTCCCTCTTATACTTGATTATGGTTGAGAGAATATCCATAAGAGTAATTTAGAAAAAATTAATAAATATGAGAAATGGGTCTTACATTTAGGACCAAAACCAAGTCAAGAATTGGGTTCTATGTTAAGGACTGGAGGAGTATTTGATAAGTAAGAATATTTTTAAAAAAATAATACTCCTTCGGTCCTTAATATAAGACCCATTTAACTAATTTGATTATATTAAGGAAGTTAAGTAGGTTAGTTAATTATAAGAAAAGTGACACATTTTTTCTAAAACATTATAATCATCTTTCTTAATACCTCTCTCCCTCTTCTACTTGATTATGGTTGAGGGAGTATCCATAAGGATAATTTAGAGAAAATTGCTAAACATGAGAAATGGGTTTTATATTTAGGATCAAAACTAACTCAGTAATTATGTCCGATATTAAGGACCGGATGAGTACTTATTTATTATAAATAATTAATTTAACTAATTTTTTAATATACTTTAAATTAATCATATGAGAGGCAGTAATAACTTTATTCTAATCGTAGGAAGGGGCCAGCAAGCCTTTTCACGGTCAATTTTGTCGTCTACGTTATCTGGCGAGGCTCTATTTTAAGAAGATGGGGTTACATTTCTCGTAATTATCTAAATTTTTTCAGCCTTTTTAGACATACTGTAATTTTGACCGTATGAAAAATTTAGGATATTGCTTTCGGTTGCTTTCAAGATTCAACGTAGATAAATGAAACTCAAGCACTGTCTCATATATGATTGAAGTTTTTTATTTTTCAAGGATTAAGTTCAATAATATTCAAACTTGTACCAGAAACACAAATCACATAGTCCTGGAGAAATTATTACCTATCTTAGAATTTGTTCAAAGAATTTCAAGTATATTTATTAAGGATAATTTAGAAATAAAAAACCTAAATTACAAAAAACAGTTGCTTTTTTTTCATCGAATAATTGATTTATTTTGAAGGGCTGTTTTTTAGGCAACTGCCTTATGAGTATCGGATGCCAATTGCTAACGGAGAGTGAGGTAGGACTTGCGAATGCCTTGCCTAATTCTAACGGTCTTGTTTGGTAAATGCGTCACTCTTTAATTTCATGCACAAACATGTAAATACTCTTGGATTTATAATCTCTCAACAGAATATAATATTTATTTAAAAATTAATTAATGATGTCAAATACTTCACAATTGACTGCTTTTCTATATATAAAATACAAATAAGCGAATCATATAGATGAAAAATGGTTAACAAATTTTAAAAATTGATAAAATTAGATAATAAAGTGAATGTGTAAAAATGCTTTTATTTTCTATACTTATTTATGAAGAGATAGCGTGAATGAGGAACAGAAAATGAGCTTGCAATTAATAGTGTCAAAAATAAAAATAGTAAAAATTTTAGGTGTATGTTATAAATAAATTCACGTCTAACTAAGAACTACATCTTATACAGAACATTAGATAGAATATATTACCATCTGCACTCTTTAATATAACAGTAGTTTAACTTTTAATTTGTTCTAAATATAAAACATTAGCCCATTTTATTTCTTGTATTTATCTATTTTTATTAAAACAGTTTTTTTAATAGTTACATATATTAAATGTTTTATTAAATGACACTTGATTAGTAAGGATATCTTAGGAATATAATATTTATTTGTTACAAATGACTAACTTAATTAATTTTTTTAAATCTGCTAAAATTAGTCAGTTAGCTTTTATATCAAAGACTGAAAGAGACGGTATATTAATAAATGGAATTGCTTGAAAAATATAAATTTATAAACACGCGTTTTATATATTTTAATTAATTAATTGGCCAATAAATA